ATTCCTGTAATCATAAACATAAAATTTGATTTCACTTTTTTTGGTAAATGAATGCAAAAGGATTGCAATATTTTTTTCTCATCACTTTGTCAAATAAGGTGGACACAACATCTAGATAAAAATACAAATGCATGAGAAAACCAAACCTGAGCTGATCTTGTGTTTCTCATTGGTCGGGGGAAATTATTCCTTAACATCCTTAACATATAAAATGCATCAATCAGAAAAAACAAAACCCCAACAGCTGAGGATTCCCTAAAATTGTATGAATTGTATGTACAAGTGCAACTGATTTACTTCTTTATTAATGTACATTCAATATAGAAAGTTTATGTACGGCATATTACATTTAACATTTCACAATTAGTCTTTCACATACATTTGTAATCAGAGTCAGTACAATTTGTCCTTTCAGACGCTCGTTTCCAGTTGGTCTTGATATATGTAGGTATAAATAGTGGAGTGCTTTCTGGGGAAGGAAGGTTTTTGTCGGTTTACAGGACGATGAGATGAGAGACAATCTCAAGTTTCTCTTTCCTTCTGATACCAAGCACTTACTCGAGGACTTCAGAATAAAAGTAAGAATATAGAGATGCCAGAAGTCCAGACATGAGCTGAATGTGAGACGCAGGAAGACGAAGAGACAGGAAACGGAAAAAAAAAACAAATGCATAAAAATCTCTCAATACAAAAGTAAACTATTTTACTCTCCATGGACAGAAATGATTTACGAGATGCGAGTGGATATAAAATGATAGAGGAGGAAGGGATCATGAAGTGCTGTGAGGGAGGATGATGGGCGCTCTCTCTCTGTCTGTTTCTCTGTCACTCTCAGGATCAGGATCAGGATGGCGGCGCTCTGGAGCCGGTCCGTCTGTGTCCGGGTTTGTCTGGTGTTGTATTAGTCTGGTTCAGCCCAGGTCTCCGATGTCTTTGTCTACGGGTGGCGGGACGCTCGGCATTACTGTAGAGCCGCTGCCTGCTGTCAGATAACCTGCCACTCCTGGACCTGAGCAGCACACACACCACACATAATCTTGACAGTTTTGAATGATGTTTTGCTTCTATCTGTATAACCAACCAGTGCTGGTATGACCATATCGCGCCGGTGCCTCACGCGCACACAGACACAACATATTTTTGCGACGTTGCAGCCTGTTCATTATCAAAATAAAACACAGTTAAAGAAACATAAAAAGTTGCACTGCTCCGTTGTACGATCTGTGTTCAGCGAGCACCGCCTCACTGTGCTGACACAGCCGATGTGAAGGATGATGTAGATGCGAGTGAAGTACAAGCCTATTACATAATAAATAATATTTTAGCATCCAGATACGTCGCGAATATGGAAACACTTGGATGCGTACCGAATGAGAGAGGTAGACATCAGTTTCACCTTAAATTAATTTGTTTTTGGATTGACGTTTTTATAGCCTAAACGCATAGCCTTAACTTTAGAGGATTTGTTGTGGAGAGAAGGAAACTAATAACTGTTTATCATAGGCTATATATATATATATATATATATGTAGAAAACGCTGCACTTTATTATTATTATTATTAGGCTATTATTATTATTAATGGATTATAAGCGCTTCTTATTACTAGTTTGTGAAGATGTTTGGGGTGTTTCGTTCCCAAATGCACGTTAAAGTGACTCAAACTCATTACAGATGCAGATGATGATTGATGAAGTTCAATTTAATGAACACAGTGCCGCTTCACTGAAACAGCACAGATATTTTACTTATTTTATCGTGCAGCTTTAATAAATGATGACATTTTCCATTTGGAACATCACAGATGTGGATGAAATGTTCTGTACTGGTAGCTGGCTGGGAACATTTCCCGCTAACATTTGAGCTCTATTGAGTGGCTTCTTAAACACTGCTGATTGGCTGTGTGAGCCATGATGTGAAGCAATGATCATTGTAGCCAATCACAGTCATATCTGTTGAGCGCGTAAACACAATGGCCAATCAGCAGTGTTTAAGAATCCGCTCAAGAGAGCTCAAATGTTAGCGTGAAATGGACGTTTTTAAAATGTCAGTACCGACTGGTATCATGGTAGGCACTTTTGACAACACTAGCTGGGAATGTGACCTTCAATGGAAACACTCATTACAGCGCTGCACTGAAGAGCGGAAACACAGATGGAAATGAGTATGAAATGAAGCAGAAAGAGAGATGAAGCCATCAGAGGACAGTCTACCTGCTTTACAGTAATAAAGAGGAGGCTGGAAAAAACCAGGTGAGCTACTAAAGCCCACTGCGCAGCGGACTGCTGCCCGCCAGGAGAGACGGAGCGGACACA